ATCTCCTTCTGTTTCTGCTCCTGCTTCTCCTTCAGGATACGTCGTCTTTCTTCTTCATTCGCTCTTTCTGCTCTCTCCAGCATCTCACTGGTGTAGTGTTGACCACCATTTCCAGTCACCATTTTATCAATCTGCTCAAGCAGCTGAATGACTTGCTCTGGATTTTCCTCTTTATTATTAAACACATGATATCGTCCATCGCAGGTTCTGATGAAGCTGAGCAGTTTTGGACTGTCCCGCACAAACGTGTGAATGTTTTTCCCCTCCAATCGATCTCCATGAGTGAACAGAGCCATGGTGTATATGGAGGATTCCTCACCAAAGGCTGCTTGGATGATTTTCACAGCTTCTTCTTCTTCATCAGTGAATCTGCCAAGCTGAATCACAACTAAAAACACATGTGGACCTGGAGCTGAGAGAGGAATGCAGAGTTTAATTCTGTTGACCACTTCATCCACAGGTAAGCTGGTGTCAAACAGACCCGGAGAGTCAATGACGGACACTTTTCTGCCGTTAATAACTGTGTGAAACTTTTCACAATGTCCAGTCACAGAGGAAGATGAAATCTCTGACTTAAAAACGTCTTGTCCAATGATGGTGTTGCCTGTTGCGCTCTTTCCCACACCTGTTTTTCCAACCAAAAGTATCCGGAGTGGATCACCAGAATAACGCACTGAAAGTGAACAAGAAGGATTTTTTTTTTTTTTTCAAATGATTCAAATGTACAACACATTTATATGATGTACGCTGAGTGTGCTTATGGTATGAAAAAAAACAAAAACCTTACCTATATCAGACAAATGCTGTTTTTCTTCTTTATAGATCTAGAAGTGATTTACATATTACCATGCTTTGGCCACTTGTACATGTTAAAATGTATCAGCTTAGAAAACAAAACAAACAAACAAAACACTTAAGCATACCTCAATCCCCATTGCAATGGCAGCAACAATTACAGAAGGCATCAGTATTTCTGTGAAAAAAACTGAAAAACGAGACTTTTCAGATTGTTGTTCATTGTCCTGGAAAAAACATCTTACAGGAGTATAAAGTAGGCATTGATTTCAAGGTATACCATGGTTTGGAAAAGTAAAGGTTTTAAAACCGGCAAAATTTTCTGCTATATTATTCTTATGATATATACATTTTTTTTATGACAACAGTATCTCCTGCAGAAAAGATATCCAAAGATGCCATTTTCACATGTAAAGCAATCAGTGTTTTTGAAGCTAATGAAGACAGCAGAAGTCAATGTTTTGTTTGAATTATTTAGCCTGACATGTTTACTGCTCCAAAATACTTTAAATGTTGCTCAAAATAAAATATATTGTGTTCAAAAGGGGAAATTTATTTTTTTGTTTTTTACCCAGATATTTAAAAAGAATATATTTTACATATTTTTTTATATGTTTATCCAAGGTTATCATACTGTCAGAATCATATACCAGCCCATGCCTAGTATAAAGTCATGTCAAAACTGTTGCACTTGCTCTACATTCGACATGAAAATGATATATCTTTTATTATGATTTTAGTTTGTTACTTATAGTACAGTGAAAAGGGGGCATAAAATTCTTAAGAAAACACAGTCCAGAAAAAATATGAAAACCTGTTTTAAACAATTCTTCCATGAGGCAAAATTAATTATTAAAAAATTCTCAAATTGATTATTGAGATATTGGTTATTTCATTTCATAAACCCAATGAACAATCACTATTCCATATCTTAACTTTGTTAAAACACCTTATACATTTATGCTGTTACACCAAAAATATCTTGGAAGCCTATTTTTACTATCTCTGTTGGCAATACTGATCAAGTAATTATCATATTTGGTTGAACCAGCCTTTTAAAATCGGTCTTTTTCTGTGTCTATACAAGTTACTTCTCTTGTTTTCTTTAAAATCGCTTTAAAGACTGAGTGTTCATCTTTTCAAAGACAATGCACACATATTGTTAAGTTACATGAACACTTTCTCTAATACAAAGAATGCAACTCACGTTTAAATAAAGAGCTCATGGCTTGAGGATTCAGACGCGATCTAGCTCTCGGTTGCTTTGCTTTCGTTTTCTCAGAACTTGCTTGTCTGGGTTACATCACAGTACCATATACAGGAGAGGCTATTTGTTATTCGCTTTCTGTTTGAGCTTTAGCCGTAAGCTTGTTTGTGACATTATGAAGACCGTTTTGTTTTATTGAGAAAAAGGCCTGAGTAACAGTAAAATAAAGTATTGTTATAATAGCCTATTAATTATAATGTTTTTAATTTTTCCTTTTTTAAAGACCAGGCTCGTTTAAAGCATGCAAGCTCTTTCATTTTTAAATGCCTACTATACTCCACGTGTCTAGTCTTGTCATATTTAGTTAAGAATTACACATCTTATAGGCTACCATATTTTCCATTTTAAATTAAATTCATCCATTAATTTTCTTTTCGACTTAGTCCCTTTATTAATCTAGGGTCACCACAGCGCAATGAACCACCAACTTATCCAGCACGTTTTGAGGATGCCCTTCCGGCACAACTTATCACTGGGAAGCATTCATTCATTCATGGACAATTTAGCTTAGCTAATTCAGCTTTCCCCACATGTCTTTGGACTTGTGGGAGAAACTGGAACACCCAGAGAAAACCCACATGAACACGGGGAGAAAATACAAACTCCACACAGAAATGCCAACTGACTCAGCCGAGGCTCGAACCAGTGACCATCTTGCTGTGAGGCGATCGTACTGCACCACTGTGATGCCCTTTTGAGATAAAATGTCCAATAGTTTTCCTAATTTTACTTAGAGTACTGTTAGTTATTTAACATTCCACAGTAAAAGTTGTTGTGTGTATATTCATTTTCTTTTCGGGTTAGTCCATTCAATAATCTGGGGTCACCACAGCGGAATGAACTGCCAATTTATCCAGCATATGTTTTCTGCAGTGGATGCCCTTCCAGCTGCAACTCATCACTAGGAAACACCCATACAAACACACCTGCATGCAAACATACACTACAAAGTGTTGTAAGTATATTTCAATGTAAATCCTACCTTGCTCTCTCTGTGGATTTCCTGCAAAATTTAAATCTGCAACCTGTTAATCATATGCTCCGCCTACTTTAATCTGATTGGTCATGTCAATTATCATGGGATTGAGGAGCGCTTTCAAATATGCCAGTCTAAAATATGCTTTTTAAATATGTGAGCTAACAACAGAGCAGTTATAACATTTGTAATTATTGGGGGAACTTGTTCAAGTGTTATGGTCCTCTTTTAGTATAAGTTCATTTGATTATCACCTTAATTTTCTCACAATTAAAAAATAGTTGAACTGGAAATGAGACAACAGTTTCTGTGGTAAAAACACCCTATATAAATATTTTGTCTTGGTGTAAATGTAACTGGGGTAGACTTGATATAAATTATAGACATAAATTATATTTTCAAAATAAATACTGAAATTCTGAAGGTCATTTTTTATGAGTTTTTTATTAGATCACCCAGTTTACCACTGATTTGAGAACTATGGTTGCCGAGAATAGAGAAAAGACTAACAAACTAAGGGTGCACTTACACTAGGCTACCCGAACCATACCCAGGCATGTTTCCCGGTTCGTTTGACAAGTGTAAGGCCTCAAAATCAGGCCAAGGCGCAGTTCAGAGTGCAAAGCACACCTGATCCCATAACTGAAGATGCAGCATCACTTTTAAGGGACTGTTTCATATGGATTTATTAATCATTCTTACTTTTCTATGAACACAAACTGTCGTTGTTTATTAAAGATGAAAACCCCTTACTGCACGTCAGCTGAACCTTCAGCAAACCTCCTAATACGTGCAGCACAATGACATTCAAGATAATTTATGATTTTCAAAGGATGTGGATCTGCTCGGCAAAATATTTGACTGTGTCACTGCATCCCAAACATCTAAATCAATATAACTGAAGCAATCTCCACTGTGCTGAGCGAGAGCGCTTCTCTTCTGTTAAACTGAACGCTCACATCATCAATGGCGTAAGTGTGCTTCGGCTCTGAAGGCAAAATGCAGTTTGAGTAGAGCCCGTCGGGGGAGAGGGGAGGCTTCGGCATGGTTCAAGGCAACTGTACCTAGTGTGAGTACACCCAAAGAAAACATCTTCATTTGACAACACACAAATTTTCACAACACAGACACAAAAACGCTCAGCAAAATGTGTTAGTAGACCAAAAAAATATGATCCACCTGGTTGCTTCATGTTTACAGTCAGCAATGTTGGATGTCAGATTTCCACCACAGAGAACTACACTTTTACATCACTGTTAGCTTAACTGTATTACTTTACTTTATATTTAAAGTAAAAAGTAAAATCCTTTTATATTTTTATACCTTTATTTATAATACATTTTACTGATCAGGCTATACAGTGCTCAGCATATATAAGTACACCCCTCACAAATCTCTCTTTTAAATTCATATTTTTAATAGGAAGCTAAACAATATTATATTTGTGCATATACATTAGATTAGTCAGTATTGAAGCTAAATCTGAAGCTTATCTAACAAAATAACTTATGATTTTGGTCTAAAAACTAGCACACCCAAATGTATATGTTATAAAAAAAAATTCAATACAAATTTAAAAAAGAGGGAAAATCAAGAGAAGCTAAATTTTTGTTGAAATTTTGTAGGTTGTAATCATTTTTTGCAATATTTTGTTTGAATTTAATTGTAATATCTTTCAATTTCTATATATGTTTGGTGACCAAAATATTATTTTAACAAATATATCTGTTTAATAAATCTATTTTGTTTAATTGCACCAAAATACATTGCCTATAATTACTGAGAAATGGATACAAATATTCATTTTCAAAATGGGGTGTTCAATTACGTTGAGCACTCTATGTACCAACATTGTTAAACACACATATTAGCCCATTTTAAGTCCATGCCGGAGGATCCCATGTGTATTCTATCATAAACAAATACAAAATCTTAAATACAGTTTATACAGAACACCACTGCTTCCCTGATTTAAGAGTTTATATAGTTTCAGGTTTGGACACATTTCACTTGTACCTACATTTCTTCACCATATTATTAAACTTTCATATGTCAAACTCACCAGGATTTACAGTATAAGCACGTACTTGATTTGTAAACCTTTATAAAATAGAGAATTTAAAAACTGTTCTCTTTTTTTATAGCCTCACATGGTCAGCATTTGTGTTGCTCAAAAAAAGAATTTGCTTAATGCGTTAATTAAAGTGGTGACCACATGGAGTATTGCTGGGAAGTCAATTTCTGCTTTGTATCTTGCGACCTGCTCATATTTACTGTTTAGTGTTTGCAGTGCTTTTTCATAGGCCTCATCTTCAAGTTGTTCCCTCAGAGCTGCGATCTCCTTCTGTCTCTGCTCCTCCATCTCCCTCAGAATGCGCCGTTTCTCTTTCTCAATCGCTCTCTCTACCTTTTCCAGCATCTCACTGGTGTAGTGTTGACCACCATTTCCAGTTACCATTTTATCAATCTGCTCAAGCAGCTGAATGACTTGCTCTGGATTTTTCTCTTTATTATTAAACACATGATATCGTCCTTTGCAGGTTCTGATGAAGCTGAGCAGTTTTGGACTGTCCCGCACAAACGTGTGAATGTTTTTCCCCTCCAATCGATCTCCATGAGTGAACAGAGCCATGGTGTATATGGAGGATTCTTCACCAAAGGCTGCTTGGATGATTTTCACAGCTTCTTCTTCTTCATCAGTGAATCTGCCAAGCTGAATCACAACTAAAAACACATGTGGACCTGGAGCTGAGAGAGGAATGCAGAGTTTAATTCTGTTGACCACTTCATGCACAGGTAAGCTGGTGTCAAACAGACCCGGAGAGTCAATGACGGACACTTTTCTGCCGTTAATAACTGTGTGAAACTTTTCACAATGTCCAGTCACAGAGGAAGATGAAATCTCTGACTTAAAAACGTCTTGTCCAATGATGGTGTTGCCTGTTGCGCTCTTTCCCACACCTGTTTTTCCAACTAAAAGTATCCGGAGTGGATCGCCAGGATGTTGCACTGTAGATAAAAAAAAAATCTGATATATTTAAATGTACAAACACTTAATGACTGCTGATATAGTTTATGTTTTAATATGTTAATGCATAAAAAAGATAATAAATACCTGTATTGTTCAAGTGTTGTATTTGTTGATCGCTACTGTTGATCTATAAGTGATTTATATAACATATTTATAGACGTTTGTCCACATTATTAAAATAATCAGCTCAGAGCTGTATAATGGTCGAAATATACTGTACACCTCAGCATACCTGAATCCCAAATGCAAGAAATGCGACAACAACACAAAACACCAGTAGTTCTTTTGAGAAAGCTGAGATCCAAGACTTTGATGGTGTTGGTGATGGTCCAGGAGAAACATTCTCCAAATCTATGAAGATAATCATGTCAGAACTGTTTCTCTCGTTATACATTTAAAATATGATTTATAAGCTGATGATAATAGATGAATATTACATCACTATTAATTTATTTTAATTGTATAGCTTTTGGTATATAACAGATGAAGAGTCAGGATTGTTTTATTTCTAAAATTAAAGCAACAATTTCAAAATCACATTAGGTGGAATGAACAGAAACATTTTTAGTGAAATTATTTGGTTCTATTTTATACAACTGTTCTGTCTGGTTCTCGAATCTGATTGATTCTGTAATATCAGAACTCCTACAGCCTACTCACCGTTCTGTATTACTCCACCCACATATAGTGACAGCAGATCATTAGACTCACTACAGTTTGACAAATATTGCAGCTGTTGGACAACATAATGTACTTTTGAGGCTTTTTTAGGGGAGAATGTAGTTGTTTAGATTGCAACTATGCAGTTTATTTATAAGGATAGTGCCTATTATAACTATTTATAATTTAAAAGCTGAGCAGAGCAAAGACAGTTGACATCCATCTACAAGATGGCGACAGAGACTGCATAATAAAAAATTTAATAAAAAATGAAAATACATTACACACACACACACACATATATACTTATGGCTCTATATCAGCACTGGTGGGAGGCGTGCGTTAGCACAAGGCTGCAGCAATGCTAATATACACCAGTGCTGATGTGTAGCCATATCGCACTGCTACGAGTGTGATATTGCGTTTATACAATAGTTCAACAGCACAATCGTGTATCTAAATAAGAAAATCAAACACGGAGAGTCTAAAAACCCCTTTTTATTAGGAACTACTTTCTTCCGCCATTCATTCACATCTGCAGCTGACGTCAGTACAGAAGGAGCTGTTACTAATTCACCAACATCACTTTAGAGCTAGTGTTTGAATGACTCTAAATGTAATGTCGGAAGGAATGACAAAACAGATGATTTTGCTCAGACTTTAAGATTATAAGGCTGAACGTGACATGAAATGCCATCCATCTACAGAGATATCTTCTTAAAGTGTTACAGTCTACAGTATTTCTCTGTTGTGATCAGGATATCACAATAATTAATCCTGAAAAAAAAGCAATGCAATCACTACCAAGACTGCTGTTGTGTTTGCGATAAAGAAAAACGCTAAACACGTGCAAACTTTGCTTCTTTCTGTCTGCCAACACAACATACATTCCTGTTATGTGGGCAAATCGGTATAAATACAGCACTACAACATACAAAAGAGAGAGATCGACTTAAAGAGAGAGAGAGATCGACTCTTATTACTTACAAAACATAATATTACTGCCAACATGTCTCTGAAAATCCGGGAGACTGGGGTGTTCGGAGGTGATTTCTCTGACACTGTTGAGAGCCGGGATAGGATGAAGCGGGTTTTGGGCGGCCACCTTGATCGGGTACTGTACCAAAGTTGGGCAACCCTGGGGTGTTTACAGACTGTACCAAAGAGGGGGGAGGGTGAAATTATGGGAGTTTTCCGGAAAAAATAAAAACAGGATGGTTGCTGGAGATTGGTCTGAAACACGGGATACTCCCATTAAAAACAGGAGTGTTAGGAGGTAGGCTTATCAGTTTATTAATGTTTTGATCTGCTGTAGTTAGAAATCAGACTGTTATAACCTTCTAAGCGTAAGGGCTTATTATGCGGTTCTGTCACCATCTTGTGGATAGAAAACGTCAACCATCTTTGGTCTACATTATGGCAGGCTAATGGTCGCCAACGAGCTCTCTCAGCAATTGTAAATATTTTTAAATAGGCACTATTTTTACAAATAAACTGCATAGTTGCAATCTAAAAAACTACATTCTCGACTTAAAAAGCCTCAAAAGTAAAAAAAAATAAGAGAATAAAGAAAAAATGTCAGATCTGGGCCTTCAAAATTTTTTTGAAGGAAGTGGGCCTTGAAGTAAAAAGGTTGAGAATCTGTGCGCTAGAGACGTCTGCTGTTCTGAGGTCAGCTGCAGATGTGAACGAATGGTGGAAGAAAGTAGTTCCTTATACAAAAGGATTTTTAGATTCTCCATGTTTGACTTTCTTTTTTTATCCACGATTATGCCGTTGATCTGTTAACTGTTAAACTCGTAGCAGTGTGATAGCAGTATATTGTCACTGGTGGGACAATAAAGCATGCCTCCTACCAGTGCCGATATACAGCCATATATACAGCCATATTGCACTGCTACTCATGTGCTCATGTGATGTTGCTCATTTATGCAGCCTCTGAAAACCTGATCAAGCTAAATCCAAGTTCTGAAGACATAGTTCACCCAATAATGAAAATATACGCACCAGTGGGCTACATGCACAGCTAGTGTTTTTCAGCCAATGATAAATTTACGGTGAAAGCTTAATGTGACTATTTTCAATTTCATATGGTTTCTTTTGATGTTGTAATTTAAATGCAATACATTCAGTTGAATAGACTTAAGCGTTCATTTAGTTGTTCAAGCTTAAAACAAGATGAAGGGCCGTGTAACCACTAGCGCTGTCAGGAGCTAAAACAGGAGCTGAAACAGGAGCTGAAACTCAATTTAAAAACACTAAGGTCAAATAAACTGTCACAGTTTAAAGACATAAAATATAGGGGGAATGGAATTGAATGCAGTGCTTCTTGTCTGGTCTGAGACCCACATTATATCATATATCAATCAGGCATTGAAGATCACTGATTTTTTAACAAAATAGATCTTAAACGTGGCAATTGTATAATGTAAAGACAGTTCACCGGAGGTGCTGAGGCTGGCTGGCTGAAATTAAAAGTCTGTTAACCCCATTACACATCCTCAGGTGGTTTTAAATATTTATTGTTTCAATCTTCGGCAGACCACAACGAAACATAACTCGAAGAAAGAAAAAACTCTAAACATTGACATTCATAGTAGGATAAACAAATACTATTAAAGGCAATGGTTACAGGTTTTCAGCTTTTTAAAAATATCTTATTTTGTGTTTAAAGAAGAAAGAAACTCAGACCGGTTTTGAACAAACGAAGGAAGAGTAAACGATGACCCTCTTAACACTACTGCTAAAAATACTTTATTTATCAATTAGACATATTAGTTTTATACAACTGCTTTAAATCAAATTTAATCTATAGGCCTACCGAAATACTTTTCTCATTTAGAACATTAGATATACCTTCATTAAGCTCTTTATTAAGCAAAAAGTATCATTTTCAGAGCACATATAAATATAATAAAACCAATTCTGTCAAACCGATGCAAAAAAATAAGATACAACTCACTTTTAAATGAAGAGCACATCGTGTAAATAGTACAGACCCAATCTGTATTTCAGTTTTCTTTCTTGCCAAAATATAAGTTTCGTTTACGCTTCATAAAGGTGCTTGTTCTTTCGTCAAGGAAGTTTTATTTGGTGCAGACTCCCATCTTCAGGAGACACAAGAAACTGCATGACTGAATCAGTACAGCTAATGGAGAAACTGTGCAGAGGCTTGTCCTGTTTTTTTTTTCTTTCTTTCTTTATCGGAACGTACAAAAATATACAAAAAAAGGTAAAATCCTATATCAACAAAATAGACAACAGAACAAAGCAAAACAAAGTGAAACACATAAAATTATGCAAGGGGTAAATTGCAATAAATCTGTCTTAAAGCATTATCACAGTGATGTAAATGTCACATAGAATACAGTCAGCTGGGTATTATAGAAAAGAGACAATACTGTAAGATTCACATAGTGTTATTGATTTTAAAGCTTTAACATTGTTGGAGGTCGAGATTGTATCCAAATAATATTTCGAATCTTTCCAAAAATAAGAAACAGGGGCTTTACAAACAAATATTTGCATTTGAGTATAAAAAATTTGCTAGTAAAATAAATTGATTATTACAAAATATGTATTTTTTACTTTATTAACACGATAAAAACCACATAAAACATCCTTGTATAACAAAGAAAAAATATCTAAAAGAGAAGCACATATAAATAAACTAATTTTTTTCCAAACAATCTTAACATGGACGCATTACCAAAAATTCCTCAAAAGAGATCCTCAGGAATCTTTTTTATATAAACATTCACCGGATAAACTCGATGTATCCATTTGAAGGAAACCTCTTTAACCTCTTCAAAGTTTGTGATTAAAAATTCTCGTCATCCTGTCTATGGTCCTGCTCCCTTTCTCTGGGTGTCACCATAGGCGGGGCTTGACGGCCCAAATCACATCTTAAAATAAAGGGGTGAAGGTTGTCATATTAACCTGTATCTCTCCTGTTGTCCAGGAAAATGTTTCTTGTGTTATTTTATTGCACAAAAATGGCATATCTCAGCAAACACATAACGTTCCCACAACATTCTTATTTGGTTCCAAAAAGATAACCAAACGGGAACCATATGGGAACGTTAGGGGAAGGCTATGTGTTTTCTGTACAGTAAAAAATTGATGATCAATTAGTCCTGACAGCATATGTTTTAAGGTCATTGTAACTTACTAAGTTTATCAAGTTCTAATTTAATTTTATACATGAGCTGTTGTCAGATTAACAGATTAACGTAAATTAATCTATAAATAGGCTATTAATGTAAGTTCAATGGATAAGTTTAATTTGATTTGACTTAAAAATTTAAGGCAACGAAGAGTTTTTTTACAGTGTGGGATTACATTCATAAAACTTGTAAGCCGCTAGAATGAATGTGTTGATCTTTTCTCATGAAGAATTTATTCATCAGTTTTTTCTTTCCAGTTCCCCCAAAGAATATGCCATTGTTTTTGAAGCAATGCCTGATTTTGTTATACCTTGAGTCAAATCTGGCCATGAAGGCTCTTTAGTTTCTTTATTTTTTACAACACAAACCTATTTGTTGACCAAACTCTTCTCAGTTTTATGTTAAACAAAGATATTTGCTAGTTAATAATAGTTCTCGGATCTCTTTACCTGCCTGCACATAGGTTTTTGGAATAATATATTTGGTGACATAGATTGGAAACAGTTTTGGCTTCTTCGGAAAAAAAAAAATATTTTTATCTCATAAAGCTGTCGAAGTCTCAGTCAAAATCATTCATAATTGCTACCATTAAATACCAACTTACTGTAAAGTGTTTCGGGATGACTTTTCCAATTTCATTAAAACATTCTTTTTTCCAGACTTCTGTATTTCCCCAAAAACTATATACTTTGGTTACTCTCTAAACACAGATCCTTCTCATTGTAAATCTACCCAGATAGCAAAATATACTCGGGCCAGTTCCGGCTAGATTGTCGCCTGCCGGAGACTAACCCCTCGGCCCAACTTCGGCTGCCGGACTCGGGCCGGATACCTGTGGACTCACTGCCCGATTCCGGCCCGAATCAAGCGGGCCAGATGCGGCGGCCGTAAGCGAGCCGACGCTGCGCATCCGCGCCGGAATCGGCGCGAGGGTAATGTGCGCTGCGGCCCGGAGCTGGCGCGACTCCGTATTTATACACCTTATAAAACCTTTTGGTATTACATTGGTACTTGATATATGGTATTACAACCATTTGAATTTATATAACAGCAAACACAGGCTATAATGTAAACACAAAGTGTAAGCACTGCGTTTAACCTTTGAATAAAGTGCAAACTGCATACATATTCTTTAACGAAAATAATCAAGACAAATGACAAAATAAATAAATGTTAAACGTTTATTGATTGCATGACAAAAATAGTACTAAAATTTTATAAATAATTTTGTAGTGCACAAGAATATCAATTTAAAAACAACAATAAAACAACACATTAAAGACACACAGAAAGATTTAAACAAAAAAATCTAAAAATTACACACAAACACAGATGTTTTTAAAACAACCCTGTTTTCCCAATAGACTTGAATTAAAAATTTGTAAAAAACAGCTAAATTTTATATAAACCTAAATATAGAAACCAATTTAAGATATAGCAAGAAACATCTTAAAAATACCAATGACAATCCGTAAAATATCCAAGTCAAACTTGTAAAAAGTACTGCAGAATTCTGAAGAAACATCTTGAAACATTTTTTAATAAAACATTAAAATAATAATAAACAAACAAATATATATATATATATAAATAATTGCAGAACAAAATCAATTGCACAAACAGCAAGACATGAGTGAGATGATTATAAATTTCATATATATACACGTCTTGTGCAATTTTATATTTATAATTTTATTTGTATTACGTTTATTAAAAATGTATCAAGATGTTTCTTTACAATTTGGCGCACACACATACATACATAAATTCCATACATATATACACACACACACACATAAATATATACATATACATATATATATATATATATAAATGCAAATGAAAGAAACAAATTGTTCAAGTATCAGGGAACATCCTAATACACTTAAAATGTTGTTTAAAAATTAAAACAAAATAGTGATGTAGACATTTGACACATTAGCTTTCTCTTCTTTCTTCCTCCATCCCTGTCAGGGGCAAGTTGTAGCTACCTTGTAATGCATTTTTCCACTTCTTTATCAGTGGCGTGGTATGGACATTTGTCCTCACTCCATCTGTGATTAAAAGATAAACAGATAATTAGTAGTGAACAAGTACTAATGTAAAAAAAAAAAAAGAAAAAATTAGGAAAAAAGTAGGCTACCTACGAAGCAAAAAAAAAAAAAACTATAAAAAAAACAAATAAACTTAAAACACTTTGAAATTAGCAAGAGCTTGAACTTACCAGTTTCTTCATTTGTTCGGGCTGCTCCTTTAGTTGATTTTCAAGCTTTTCCAAATCCAATTGGCCAAAGGAAGGTCAAATGTGTTTACATCTGGAATTTCATCACGTCTGTTTTGGTTTTGTGAGAATCAGGCCCAGCTGCTGCTTTATGACGTTGCATGATTTAAAAACTTCAGTCAGTCGTGCTAAAAAAGAAAAATAACAGATTAGTATAAATCAACCTGTAGCTTATTCTCATACAACTTCTGTAAATACAACAGTGGGTTAGACACTGCTGATATTCTCTAGTTGATCTTTACTTTCTAGCTGCATTAAACCTTAACAAATTTAGTGATGTCTTACAAAAACATCACGAGATGCAATAAGTTCTGTCTTGATCTCAAACTGCACTAGAACAAAGACTGTAAATGTTCATAGGTGTACTGCAGGAGTGTCCAAACTTTTTGGGCCGAGGGCCAGATGCAAAAAAACAAACGTTGTCGCGGGCCAAATTTTACATACATCACACAGACATATATATATGTCTGATATGACATGATATATATATACACATGATATATATATATATATGACATGATATATATATACAGTTGAAGTCAGAATTGTTAGCCCCCCTAAATTATTAGCCACCGTTTATTTTTTCCCCAATTTCTGTTTAACGGAGAGTTAAACATTTTTTCCACACATTTCTAAACATATTAGTTTTAGTAACTCATTTCTAATAACTGATTTATTTTATCTTTGCCATGATGACAGTAAATAATATTTGACTAGATATTTTTAAGACACTTCTATACAGCTTAAAGTGACATTTAAAGGCTTAACTAGGTTAATCAAGTTAACTAGTCAAGTTAAAGTAATTAGGCAAGTTATTTTATAACAATGGTTTGTTCTGAAGACTTAAGGGGCTAATAATTTTGACCTTAAAATGGTTCATAAAAAAATTTAAACCGCTTTTTATTCTAGCCGAAATAAAACATAAGTCTTTCTCCAAAAGAAAAAATATTATCAGACATACTGTAAAAATGTTCTTGCTCTGTTAAACATTATTTGGGAAATATTTAAAAAAGAAGAAATAAATCAATGAGGGGCTAATAATTCAGACTTCAACTGTGTGTAGATAGACAGACAGACAGACACAGACAGACAGACAGACAGACAGATAGATCATAACAAGAACTGCTGCTTAATTGAATGCATGTAATAGCGACACCCGGTGGTTATTTATTGAATTACGTTCATTTTTGTATAGCGGGCCAGATTCTATTGATATTTATAAAAAGCCTCGCGGGCCGCAGTTTGGACACGCCTGGTGTACTGGAATGTACAGTATCTGTGCATCTTGATGGTGGTCTTAAGATTTCTGCCATAGTCATTGATGGTGATGGTACTTGTGGTGCTGCATTGATTTCTGAAATCTTCATACCTGCCTTTTATCCAGCCTCTTTGTTCCAAGTAATTTTTCTTCATCACGGTATAGATGTGTCTATACTGTCCCTTAATCAGATACATTTACAAAACAAAACAAAACATCACTTTAGTATAGTGCCAGGGCAAAACTCACAGGTTGTAATAGATCAATGACATAATGTTGACAGTATGTGTTTAAAATAATTGCAAACAAACCTG